GAAACCCGTGAATGAACAAGAGGAGAATCGACCGACAAACCAGAACAGCTGACGTAGAAGTCCAGAATCTGTCCAGAACAAGGCTCGAATTAGTCTGCCTACAGGACTGGAAGTATTTCCAAGAGCAAAAACAGAATAGGGCTAGATTCGAAGAGTATAGACCGGCATAGTAACGAGACTAGAACACGGACGAGGCCCGTATCAGTCACACAAGGCTTGAACCAGAGGAGAGAGACCTGAGCCATCAAGGGCGCACTGAAGACCAGGCGAGAAATTACCTGCCAAAGTCTGCCGAGAGCCGAACCATCAAGACTTGACTTGGAAGAGAGTCAAGTCTAACGCAGCCAGGAGTCGAAAGTAGCAAGACTTTGGAAAAGCATCAAGTCTAAAGTTGTCAGGACTCGGAATTAGCAAGACCTGAACCCAAGCCTTGAATCGGAAACACCAGTCTGAATTTGCCAAGACTCGATTTCATCAAGAGTTGAGCCCAAGCCTTGAATCCAAAAGAGTCAAGTCTAGAGCTTTCTGGACTCTTATCACCAAGACTTGAATCCGAAAGAGCCAACTCAAACTTGCCAGGACTCATATCACCAATACTTGAATCCGAAAAAGTCAATTCAAACTTGCCAGGACTCATATCCCCAATACTTGGACCCAAGCCTTGCGTGAACCAACCCAAGCCTGGATCGAAGACCGGACGGGCCGAACTGCCAAGACACAAAACATCTAGGCCTGAGTCCATATCCGCCTCATCCAGCCGCACCACGACGGCTTGGCGTGGTGCGTACTGCTTCATAAAAATATGGGGAGCGGTTTGGTGTGTAAGCTGTCTATTTCCATTCTTTCCATAAAGTGACAACTTTTTAGATAAATGGCCTGGCCCGCACTTTGCTCCGCGTCTCTAAAACGCGTGCCAAAAATCGGCAAGGGCTAATTGAGTGACAAAACACCAGAACCTTTATCCAGCACGCCGGAACTTCAACCCAAAAACACCAGGCCTCGCAAGTATAAACAACGGGCAAGCCAAGCCACGAAAAAGCCCACGGGCGGGGTGGATCACGTGACGCGCTGGGCCCGGCACGCGGCGCGGCCGATATCTGCGATGAGCGGCCCCGGACTTATCGGTGCGCGCGCGCCATATAAAGCGTGGCCCCGGCGCGGGGCCGCTTCAGCTCGACGCAAAAAAAAGGCTCCAAAACAGGCAAACAGACAAACCACCAAAACAGGCAAACCAGAACAGGCAAATACCCAGAAAAGAGCCAAAAACCCAGAACAGCCAAATACCCAGAAAAGAGCCAAAAACCCAGAACAGCCAAAACACCCAGAACAGCGGGTAAACCAGCGAGCATATCCGAAAGTCCCTGCCTCCACCCCACACCAAAATGGCCTCGAAAACGCAGCCCGCAGGCGCCACCACCAAATTGTCCCAGCACGAGATCATTCCGCACAAGACCGATGTCGGGGCCTTGGCCAACCGCATCAATATGGAAACGCGCGCGCTCCACAACAAAATCGACCGGCTAGTCACGCTCAAATTCGCCATTGCCTTGCGCAACCACAAAGTGTACCGCCAGGGCTTGCAGAGCTTTTACCATGTTTTCGCCACGGTAGAGGACTGTCTCTATGCCGAAATGGAGCGGCCCGGCAGCCCGTGGAGCGAGACCTTGCGCAAGGTATGGAAGCCGGAAATGGCGCGCACGGCCCGGGGCCAGCAGGACTTGATGTTCTACTATGACGACGACCAGTCGAAGTTCATGGCGCCCATGATGCCCGCGCAGATCGAGTTCGTCAGCCACATCCGCGCCGTGGTGGCCGACAAGCCGTACCTCTTGTTGGCGTACTTGCACGTGATGTACTTGGCGCTTTTCGCCGGCGGCCGTGTCATGAGGTCGTCCGTGAGCCGGGCCACGGGGCTCTTCCCGCAGAAGGACGGCTTGAAGCACGAGCAGATCGTCAAGTTGGGCACCAACTTCTTCCTGTTTGACGTGCCGGACGAGGAGAACTTCCGCCTCTTGTACAAGCGGGACTACGAGTTGCTGACGCGCAACTTCTTGAACGAGCAGCAGAAAACGGACATCATTGCGGAGTCCATGTACATTTTCGAGCAGAACGCCCGGTGCGTCAACGAGTTGCAGGAGCACAACTTGGCCAAGATCCTGCACACCTGGCAGTACTTTGTGTGGCAGAGAGGCGGCACGGCAGCCGTAATGCTTGTGGTGCTTCTTGCCGTGTACTACATGGTCCGCTTCGGCCGCTGGCTCGGCGCTTAGGGGTGCATGATGTAGCTTCTGCAATACACAGTAATCCACTGATACTGGCGTGTAGAACGCTTTTCGGGCGTGGCGGTATGGGCAGACTGTCTTGCGTTTGAGCGAGTGCTCGACCGTTCGGTCTGTCTCAGAGTGCGGGCTTGTGCTGTTCTTCTCTCGGGAAGGCCCTGTGCACCGAGAACAAATCACCCTAATATGGCTGAGCTTCCCTTGTCCGTCCGTATCACGGATATGGTGCATAGAACAGCCGTGTTGCCCCTTTTCGGCATTGCTGCTGTGGGCATTTCCCATGCTTCCGGGCACACGGGACTAGTCCGTCGTTTGTCTGTTCTCAATCTCCGTGCCGGGGCGCCTGGATCCACGCAGTCATGGTATACTTCGATACGCGTCGATGAAGATAGGAAGGCCGATTGGAGACACGGACCTGTTACTTGAACCTCACTCCTTGTCGACACCAAAAGACAGATGAGCATGTACATGGTGGACACACTCCAGCTTGGTCTCAGGGTGTCGCCCATGCAAGATTGCCTGGAGTGGACACTCGCACATTGACATGTAATCTAGGTCGATGGCATGGACAACTGATGGTTTTCAGAACCCACTCAATCCAGTTTTGATTATGGCGGTACTGGCACGCAGTCACTGCCAGAACCTGTATCGCTCTCTTGGACCACGATGCCCATGCTTGAGGACCACATGTCCTTTTTAGTAATTGTTGGTGATTCTGGGAATAATATAGTTTGAATGCTACAACCAAATAGGACTGGAGCGCCCGTCTGTAAATGCAATCCATGCTAAAACGCTATTCATTGACCAGATACCGATGACTACGGCTTCCACACTAGCTGGCTCCACAGTTGTCTCCGATGTCTGGTCCCTGGACAGGGCTTTCAGGAGAGCGATGAGTCATTTTCACGGGGTCCTTGAATTGTGACATGAGATCCCCGTACCAGGCCTCGACTAAAGCATCTCGCCATCTCCTAGAGCCTCAAGCCCAACGCACCAGGCCAGCCACCACAATACCTCTATTGCCCAGCTCACTGAGCTCCTGTGCGCACCAGAACTTTCACCAGGCTCTTTCACCAAACTCTTTCACCAAACTCTTTCTCCAAACTCTTTCTCCAAACTCTTTCTCCAGAATCCTTTCTTCTAGAGCCCTTCACATGGACTCATCGTCGCTGTCGCTCCCAGACACCAAGCTTGGGTCCAACTCATTCGTCACGCCCTCTGCGTGGTCCTTGATCCAGTTGTCGATCCACGCAGAAATGCGGTCCACGTTCTCTTCCATGTCCTCGACAGAATTAGACAGCAACGGAATGACGATTTCCGGGATGTATGCGCCGGCAGCGTCCTGCCACACCACCTCCATGATTTCGCAGTCCAAGTTCTCCTGGATCTTGTTGTCCTTGTATCCTCTTTTAGATAAGCGCTCGTGCAAACAGTCGGAGTCTGTTTTCAACACCACCACCAAGTCAATCAATCTTTCCGGGAAAATGTCGCAGCAGTGCCAGTCCACCACAGCACCGCCCTCACGCAAGTCCGGCTCGAGCGAATCCAAGAGCTTGTCTTCATCGACCACGTGGCTGTCGAACTCCTCGTCATATGACTCGAAACACTTTCTTTCTTTGGCCAAGTTGCTGATGTTGTAGTGCTTGTATGGCGTTTTTAGGTGCGACACGAGGGCCTCGGCGTGCGACGTTTTGCCACACCCGGGTGTTCCTGTGATAATGATGTTAGGGTGGAATCTGGTTTCTTTCATGATCGAGGCGAATTCAGAAAGTCTGAGTGTTTCGAAAGTAGAGGTTTCTTGTGCCCATATACTTGCGATGGCATCGGCCCACGTGCGCCTGCAGGACCGGCGAGCCCAGCAGGATGATGTCATGCGATGGAACAGGCGGATATGGGACGGCACTGCCCAGTCCGGAACAAATTGTGTGTTTTGTGTTTTTTTTTTGAAGCTAGCAGCTGATGACTTTAGTCAGACGCCTGGCTGGCACCGGCCATGTCTGTGTGGAGTCACGTGACGCCCGGCCCTCGTACCTTACAGCCCATATGAGCACTAGATCAGCCAGGAGGAATACGACGATACCAAGGGTAGTTTTGAGTGAAGTCCGTCCGGTTTTTATAAAAAAAAAGTCAGGCTGCAATATAGGAGTCAGGTGTACTATCACTATATTAGTGAGGTGTGTAGAACCTGTGGTAAGACTACATTATCTCATTTGTTAACACCACGTTGTCTCAATTATTAACACCGCGTGATCTCAATTGTTGACATCACATTTTGTCAGTGTATTACCACCACATTATCCCAGCGCAATGAGATCACTGAAGAGGAGAATGGGCCTGGATCTACATTATGTAAGCAGTCTATCAGCCCAGCATATCAGGACTAGATCAGCACAGTCCATCTTTACAGATACTCGTGTGCATTAGCCCAGTGGGATGACTGCATGAACCCAGTTTTATTTGAGCACAGGACATCAATATCATAGCAGCCCCTTGTATTTTGAGTGCTCCACTAGATCAGCGCATCCACCCTATATTCTCCCAGTTTATGATCACTACATCAGCACCTTTTCTAAACATTGTATCAGCCCACCTCATAAGCCTATATCCGCACAACTCGCACCGTAGTAGCCCAGTTATTGAGCACTATATCTACACAGTCTATCAACACTATAGCCCACTTTATCACCACTATAGCCCTTTTTATCAAAACTATAGCCCCCTTCATCACCACTATAGCCCACTTTATCACCACTATAGCCCACTTTGTGATCACTACATCAGCCAAGTTTGACTAAACTAAATCACCCAGCTTATAAACCCCATAGTACCCCAGCGTTCAACATTATATTAACCCAGTCTATCAACAGCAGGTCAGCCCAGGGATCCGGCATCTCGCCACAGAAACTTCTATATACACCGCCCCATGTCTATAAAACACCGCCCCCTCACACCAGGTACGGCGGCGGCTTGCAATCGTGGGAATACGGCGGGAGCGTTTCTAGCGTGCGCGCACTCTGCTTGTCAAATTGGCGGAACGCGGTTTCGAGAACCGAGCGCACCGACGGCGACAAGTCCGGGTTGCACATGGAAGTCTGCAAGGCCTGGAGCCGGCGCCCGCTGTCGGCATCCAAGGTGTTGCTGCAGAAGTAGTCGTCGTATTCACTCGGCTCTGCGGAGGAAGCCGGCTCCTCGAACGAAAACATCGACAGCTGGGAGCTGGAAGAATCCGTCAAGATGTCCACGTAGACCTGGGGCGGGCCTCCGCTGGCACTGTTGTCGCGCGCACGCGTGTTATCTCCGGGGCCACGCATGTTATCTCCGGGGCCACGTGTGTTATCTCCGGGGCAGCCCCAGTTATCTCCGGGGCCATGCTCGGGCGGCAGGCTGCCAGCGCCGCGCCGCGAAAAGAGTCTGTTGGCGCTGCGGCCGCCCACGAACAACGAGTTCCGGGTGCCCCGTCTGTTTTGCCTGCGGCGGCCCGGCGCTAGGGTCGTCGGGAGAGTCCGGGTTTCTTGCGGTATCATGGCTGTGGGGGAAAAAAAAAATGGCGGCACAAAGGCTGTATTTGCAAGACCAGCTTCAGGAGGGCGAAAAAAGCTCGTGCCCGTTCGCCCCAGGATTGTAGCTTTTTTTATCTTATCTTGCACCAGCTGCCCAGGGCCGAAAAAATGGCCTGCGCTCTTAACCACGCGGAAGATTAGGGGAGAACGGAATTGGGCAAGCCCACGCGGCACGCAAGATTTACCTGTCTCGGAATTGGTGTTGTGGCTCCGGCAAACTAAACGGGAGCAGCAAGTCAACCTGGGCTGTGGCTTCGCTGCCTTTTCCACCGGATGCCCCCACATTCTGTATTCGCTTTTTGTTCCGTCTTGCCCGCGCACTGCACGCTGGGATCGGTGCATAGGCTTTTCTGCCTTTTCAGGATATGCCGCGAAACCACCTCCAACATGGACTCCGGCTCATTTGCAACTTTCGGTGGCCAGCGAAACGTGCTCGAATTGGCCCCGTCTTTTTTTAAACAAGACGTGGGTCTTTTTGGGGGTGCGGATTCTGCACGGGCGAGGCCTGTGATCCTTGTCTTTGGTGTTTTCCTTGTTGGTGGCGTTCGTTTATCCTGCTGCGCTGCGGCTTCCTCCTGTTTGATAGGAGGCACGCAGAGAAGTGCGTACCTGAGCCAGCTGCCCCAGTTTCGGTTCAAGTCTCACTCTCTGTGTTTGATCACAGGAAACCCGGGCCCACAAACACGAACATTTAGGCGTGGAAACAATTACAATTTGGGGTGAAAGTATTTACAATTTGGGGTGGAAACAATTACAACTTGGGGTGGAATGAATTACAACTTGGGGTAAAATTAATTACAACTTGGGGTAAAATTAATTACAAGTTGGGGTAGAATATGGCACGTTAAGGAGAGGTGCATCAGGAGCGAGCATGCCCCCAGCACACAGCCCGGTGAAATCCAACGTAATATACTACATTGACACACGTCACTTCCCAGTGGGCTGTCTTCTAGAGCTCTAGCGTGTTTTTTAGGAGATGGAGCTCCAACTTACCTTCGCACAGAAGCTTGCCGGGAGGTTCGTCATCTCCACGAAAACATTAAATCAGTATCCGGATAACGGTTCCAATCACGCTTGTTTACCGCCTGCTGTAGTCGCCTTTGGGATACCGAGTCCAAAAAGCCCGTTTGCACCGTGTGGAGACGTCCGCCGCCCCAGAGAGATTGCCTTCCCTCACGTGACCTGCGCCAGCGACATGGGTGTGCGCAACATCGGTTCTTCCGTCAGTAGAGGCATTTCCAGCGGCCGTTATCTCGTTGCAAAAGGCGAAAATACCGTGGCCCTATACCAGTATTTGCAATCCACGGAACTGGCTCTTGCGCTGTGTTTTTCAACCACTCTGATCTGGCTCCCCCAACCTCACTGCAAGATGTCGTCTGTGCTTCCTCCAGGTCTACAGAACTCTTCTGGAAACAATATAAACAACCACACAGGCCCCGTGGATACACAAAATCCAGCCGGCTCTAATCACCCCTCCGCAGATGCGCCGCCCATCGCCAAATTCGGGTTGAGCGGGCTCGACGCCCTCGTCAAAGCCGACGAGAACGAGCAGGCTTCGTTTGCCATGGGCCAGAACTTGGCTCTCATGGGCCTTGATTTGTCCGAGGAGCTGGAGATCTTGAAAAACCTCGCCTCGCCGTGGCAGGAGACATCCCGGTCGGAGGTGGAGCCCTACTTCACACTCCCGTCGGTCATCCTACAAAAGAACATCGTGCCCCAGCCCGAGCCCTGCGATAACAAGATCCTGTCTTTCCTGGACGAAACGCTCTTCTACATTTTCTACACAAAACCCAGAGATACACTCCAGGAGTACGCCGCACGGGAGCTTGTGGCACGAAACTGGCGATACCACAGAGACATCCAGGTCTGGTTGACGAAAGACAGTAACGTCGAGCCTGTGCTCATAAGCCCCGAGGTCGAGCAAGGCGTGTACGTCTTTTTTGATCCTCACAACTGGGAGAAAATCAGGAAGGAATTTGTTTTGCACTACTCATCCGTGCAGGCGTAAAGAGATGGTCCCAACAATCCGGCGTAGCCGTACGCAGCATCTTTTGATCTTGAAGAAAATACATGTCTCACATGAGAATCGATGGCCTGGCTTCACTGGGTTCGACGTAGGCATCCATGGACGCGCCTGCCCCAAATAGCTCGATAATTGCACACGCTTCGGCACCCATCAAAGCTTTGTTCTTCTCTCAGAATTCATCTCCGACACTCTGTATGCTACATCCCGTTGTGGGATATAAAGGGCGACCATAGCGCACGCGGCTAGACAATGCAATGGTCCCATCAAAACTAGTCTAGTTGTATTCCCGAAGCCACGAGATTTGCTTCCAAATATTCAGTCTTTCAGATACAACACCTTGTCGACCTTGACCTCGTCGTTGCCATACGTGTAGATGTAAAGCGTGCACCTGGAAGTGTGGGTGTCCAAAAGACAGAACGACGGGAGGCTCGAAGACAAGTGTGAGGAATCGAAGTTGGTTTCGTCTTGGTCTACCGCGTCTTCTGCACCACCCTTTTCGATGTCGCTCTTTCCGACCTCAGCCTCTGAATCTTTGAGGTCGGTTTTATCCGAACCCTCTTTAATCTTGTCGCCGCTAGAACTCGACGCAGACGTCTTGTCAGCATTGGCTTCCTCATTTCCATCCAAGCTGTATTCGTCCTCTTCTTCATCCAAATCAGGCCAGTTCATACTGTAGGCCCCTGTGGCGCTTCCTGGGCTTATAAAAAACTTCCCGTCGAGAGTATATGCTTCTACGCGGTGGGTACCTCCCCAGACCAAAATGTCGACGTCGATTTCTCGCGCAAAGGCCAAAAGCAGCAACGGATCGTTCCGAGGAACAATCTGGTGACCTGAAGTGAACCCGATGCGGAAGTTGTCGGCCTTGACAACTCGATAAAGGGGCAACGTGCTGTCGTTTTTAGCGTCTAGCAAGGCGAGCTGCTGACTGACAAGATTGACATCGTCAAATTCGCCTCTAACAGCACTGAAAAAGGGCGAAAGATCGTGGAGAAAGCGCAATGTTGAAGTAGACTGGGTGATATTTCCCAAGCACAAGACTTGCGAGATTTTGGCGTTGGAGGGAACCGCTGGGGCGTTCGGAGATAGGAGTTTGCGGAATTTCGAGGGGATGTCCACAGCCCGGTCGGGTATAAAGAGATCGCCGATCAAAAGCGAAAGCATTTTAAGGGTCGACGTTTTTCCTTCAGATTTATGTCGCGACCTTTGCGAATATCTGGTGTTGGATTGAGGTTGTTTGTAGATACATGAGGCTTGGCTCCAAGTAGGACTGAGATAGTGCGACCAAACGTGGAGCCCAGAAACAGGGCCATAGATAATACAGAGATGTTCAAGTTTTTTGTGAGCCGATTTCTATACGTGATAGCAAAAAACAAAATCGTCAAGTTTTGACGTCGTATAACTATATTTGTGTGATCTTCGTTTCTGGTATTGTTTATATGGTATTTATAACCGTTGACACCGCCTTGACGGACGCGCATACGGCATTATAGTATCAAGAGCACAAGACGGGAAATACCGAGAAGACTGAACCATAGCTAGAATACATTTTGGTGTTCTTTCAGATTGATCTATTTTTACACAGAGGTAAAAAATTGCGGAAGAACAAGGTACGAAGCCAAGTGATCGCATGTATTGACCCAGAGTATTCTGGATGAAACGTAGTTGGAAAGAAGCTCCAGGCTAGTGCGGATTTTGGTTTTTCCGTTTCATGACTGCAATTTTTTGATCGAAGAAAATAAACTTTTCGTACTCAATCATCGAGGATGCCTTCCCAGTTTTATGGAGCTCTTCAAAAGCGTTTGGCCCCAGTATTTGATAAAAAACATTGGCCCTTCATGGTATGAGAGAAGCAATTTATGTAGTACATCATAAGTAAATGAACGAAAACTCTTATTGTGGTTGTTGTGGAATTTCTGCTGACAGATTATAAATATGTTAGGATAAAAACACAAACTGGCAGAGACTTAGAGACTACTCTTGTATTCAAGCCAACCGTAAAATGAAGCTTTTCAAGAACCGCAAGACTAGGTCCTTTCAGTTCTTGATCTCCGGATAAAGAGCGACAGCAAAAAAAGCTTGCTCGATCCTTTTGCAAAAAACCAGCTGATTTGATCATTTCGGAGAAGGTGAGGACAGCTGCTATGCCATTGGGACACTCTTATATCTATGCCCACACGTGTGATTCGTCCGTTTGGTAATCAAGCCTACAGCTGCTGTCCAGTCTGAAATGTCATAAAAGAGAGCTCCGAACAGTAAGGGCCAGTATAATGCATTTGAAAGATTTTTCTCTTGGGTAACAATGAAAGACAGTGTATTCAAATAAGTCTGTATTATGATCTGGTGACCTATGATGGCACAACTTCATTTACTGGGCTAAAAAACAGATATGATGCTCTTCTTGTAAGGCTAATTCTATAATGCTTCTGAAACATCTCCAAAAATGGCTGAAATCACCAAATAAAAAGTAAGATACCTCTTCGTCTCTTCAATTTCACCATATCAATACCGCCCGTACTGAGCGGGCTGCTGATAGTATGGCTGGTTCTGCTGGTTCTGCTGTTGTTGCATCTGCTGCTGCTCCTCTTTTGAAAAAATCTTCTGGAGAACCTGTGGATAGTTGCGGAAGATTTCATCAAAACGATCTCTATTCGTCATTTGGAATACTTCTGGGTCCCTTGCCAAAGCAACAAAGAATGTAGAAATACCAGATTCAATCACCGTCAAGGAAACACGGGTGATTTGACCTGAAATCAAGAAAGTAAACGCGATGATTGGCGCGTAATAGCTACCGCTGGAGTTGTACTCCGGTTCAGTGAACTTCAAGTATAAGTATGCGAAAAGTGCGTTTACGTACGCAACAAAAAGCGAATAGAGCTGAATTGACGTGTTCACAAAACAATCGTTGATCAAAGCGTCCATGCCCTTGAACCGGATCAACTGGAAGGTCTCTTTGGCGGAGGCAATGTAGTTCTTGCCGTAAAGCGCGATATAGATGTACGCATAATGGTTGAAGTATTTGACCATCCACTCAATAATTCCAATAATAAAATCCAAGATGAGGAAGCCACAGCCAGCACATACATTACCATCACCGAAGGCATTGTTCCTCAAGATCCGTACCAAGCCTCTGATCAATTGGATTATCGACACGATCAATGAACCAAAACAGATTGAGCCGAAGCAGTAGGTCATGGCACGCTTGAAAGCTCCTAGAGCGGGGTACTTGGGCTCACCCTGGTCGGAGTTAGCCAAGTAGTACCACGTGCCATAAACGCCGGCGATCGTCACGTGGATGATGTTTCTGATCACCTCCGAGATATAGTAGCCAGCAAAAAACACAAACACCAAGACACCTATCAAAGTGCTCTGGGAGCATGAGCCGCCATCGATGTCGCATCCTGGATTCCCAATATCTGGGGAGTACTTCATGTACGTGGCCACCAACACCATGGAAAAAAGGGCAGAAAACGCTCCAGATACAATAATACCAATCAAGGACGTCACGAGCGTGGATTTGTATCGTTTCATGACGTCGATAGTGATTTCAAGCACGGTGGCACTGAAAGGAATTCTCGATCTGCATGACCAGTAGAACCATGCGGCAAGCAATGCGAACACGAGGAAGACAATGGCCGCTGAGTAGTAGCCAGCGACAAAGTAGTAAATGGCGGTACCCACGCCAAAAAGCACGTTCAAAATAAGCCCCGTTGTAATGAAGAACTTGGCGTGGAGCCTGGCGAACAAGATAAGCAAAAACGATAAGACGACGGCTATCACCACAACAAACCCAAACAAAATAGCCGTATTTGAGTTGAGTGTGAAAGAGCTCAGTGAGCTGTAAATTGATCCCCCTTGTTGGGAGTAAACCTGCGACATGGCATGGAGAGTGATGCCGGCGACGGCCACAAAACCAGCCACTACTAAAAGGAAGAATATAGCGAAAGCAATGTCATTATACTTGGGCTTTTCGATTTTAAAAGCCTCATCAAAAGTTTCCAGATGCTCGGGCTTTTCAGAGAACGGTTCATTTTGCTGGTTTTCATAGTCCGGCTGGCCTGACGGGGGCACCGGGGGACGATTGTAATCCATGATGGTTGTCTGTCTTATAGGCGAATCGAATTGGAGTGTTCAATTGCAACCTTTAGGGGTCTAAAACAGTGATGTATACGAAGATTTCGTAGCAGCAGAAAAGACGGACCCTTAAGCTATTTTGGGAGAGTTTGGAAAGTCGAGCAACTCTGCTGGTTACAGGAAAGAACATTTGTATGCAAGAGAAACGCGAGGCTTCGGACGGCTGGAGCGAGTCTTTTATGCACACCTTCCATTTCTTTGCTTAGGACTTCCAATACATGTGCCGCGGTAGATTGACGCTTGCCCCACGCGGCTGGATATGGCCATATTGTGAGACATGGGCAGAGTGAAACCCGGGAATTCACATGTTTTGGATAAAATTCCGTCTGTGCCCAAGGAAAAGGACATCGGCAAATTATCTCTTATTCTCTTCATTTACTCATATCCCACGACGGCCTTTTTTATGCGTAGCACGTGACGCTTGGTTCAACCAACTGGACAGATGTTTCTCAAGTTTCCACAGGGCTCGAAGCCTTTGCTCTACTCGGCAAAAAAGCAAGCATGACTGCAAGCTTAGTGTGTTTGGGGGCATGAGCACATAGCATGTAGTGCCTCCGGTTCTCAAGATCATCATTTGGCATTCGCATACGAAAAACAGTCGCTCAGATTGCTGCTGTAAATCATCTCATTTGATTTTGTTTTAATCATTTTCCTCAATAAGGCGGGCGAAAAATCGAGACAACACAGCCTGTTGGTTGCCAGTTGGTGAGACCCAGGACAGTTGCGTGAGCAAATTTCGAAGAAATTCAAGGATGAGCCCAATAAGCCCAATCAGCATTATACAATCTTGGTTTAAGACTTTTTGAGTGAATTGAGATCAAAATTCGAGAAAATAAGTCCCCACTATTTTGTGACACTGATGAAAATAACTAGTCATCAACAACTTCAAAATTAGACAAACATCAGAAACGTCAGTCGGCTTGTTAGACTTATAACATCGATGTTCATTTTGATCTTTTTAGAATCGATCTCTCTTCATCAATTTCAGATATATATGTTACAAAAAATTAGTCCCCAATAAAACCTGAAAGGAGAACATCGAGAGGGTCAAACAGCGCACTTGCTGGCTTACTTCATTATAGAAATCATTGGTTTAAACACGTTGAAGTACAAAGCAGACAAAAAGAATGATGCTTTTCAAAGTAAGTAGATGTGCCGAGTTTGTTCTTAAACGCAACACTTTGAATCCTAATAATTGCCATTTACGATCCTTCAAGCCGCTCTGCTTATAACACTCTCATCCCCAACTTCTGCTTTCTGCCCAAGTGAAAGTCAAATGCTGGACTACTTGAACAGCTGCTGTAAAAATTAAGCCGTCCGGGGAGAGCTCTTGTTGAACAAGAACCCTATAAGTGGAAAGAACAAAGGAGCAAATGATCGAAAGATCGAGAAATAAAACATAAAAAACCAAGAACAGTATATACAGCTAATGTGATCTTCCGGCATGTCTTAAAGCGATGGCATTCAACTCACCGGAATGGAAGTGATAAGAGCCTGTTGTATTATCAAAGCGCGATACCGGCGGGGTCCCAGGTCCAAGCCGCATCCATGTGCCGGACGGTTTGCGCCAAGATCTACGGCAACGGAATCCGGCGTCGCCGGCCTATCATATAAATTCCGTCGCCATGCCGCCGTTGAAATTCCGTCGGCAGTAGGCAAGCCACAAACCGCCAAAAAAGAATAAATAGCACTTGCCGGCTCAGCCAAATCCTCGCCATCTCTGTTATATAGCATCGCAGTGTCCCCACATCCGTAGCATATTTGTTCTGATGATCCCGGCTGCTCTCTTCTGGGCATTGGCCCTTGCCCTAGGGGCCCCATCAAAGGACCACGACAAAAACAGCCCATCTCAGAAGGTTCTCCAGTTTCTGGCCGAAGCCCACCAGCAACTGTTTGTTGACCAGCTCTATGGAGAAATCGTGCGCACAGAACAGTCTGATGCTCATAAACTCAGGCTACTTGAGACGGGCGAATTGGAGTTGCCAGGGCCCGCCATCGAGCCGTCGTTTCTCTCCTACGAAAAACTCATCGAGTCGCCCGGCCAGTTGATGCAGAGACTCTCGGAAATCAAGAGCTCCCACGAGCAGAGTGCCCGAAACTCTGCCCATTCCGGGTACTTGCGCCTGAGGGCCCAGGTCAACTTACCCCATGACGACGACACCGACGACTTGAGCCATGGCAAGACTATGTTTGGTGGCATCGTGACGTTTGGCCGCTTCGACACTTTTGACTGCTACGACCCGGCACTCTACGACTCTCCTATAGATATTGCGATTGTTGGAGCTCCCTTTGACACGGGAACTTCGTATAGACCAGGTGCCCGGTTTGGCCCCGAGGCCATCCGGCTGGGCGGAAGAAGACTCAAGGAGGGTGTGACGCCAGTACGAACCAACGGGCCAGGCTCCAAGTTGGGCAGGGTGGACCCATACAACCCCAAGGCGCACAACTTGTCCATCATTGACTGCGGCGACGTGCCCATGACGCCCTTTGACAACCGCATAGCGCTTAACCAGTTGTACCGTGGCCAGCGGGCGATCCACAACCACACCACCTCGGGCAAGCCGCTGATTCCCCACACGAAGATCCTTACCATGGGAGGCGACCACACGATCACGTTGATGGCTCTTCGGTCTGCCTACGAGAAGTACGGGAGGTTGGCCGTGTTGCATTTCGACAGTCACATCGACACATGGGACCCCAAGAAGCTCGGTGGCGGCATCACGGACTACATGTCGCTCAACCACGGAACCTTCCTCCATTATGCTGCGGAAAACGGCTACTTGGAACCACACAAATGCTTCCACGTGGGCTTGCGGGCGCCGTACATTGATCCTTCATATGACCAGAAACACGACGAGGAATGTGGCTTCAACACAATCACTGCCAGAGATATCGACAAGATGGGCACTGCCGGGATTTTGAGCAAACTCAAGGAAACCCTCGGCGACATCCCCGTCTACATTTCCGTGGACATTGATGTGTTGGATCCTGCGTATGCCCCGGGAACAGGAACAATGGAGGTAGGTGGTTGGACCACGCGGGAACTTCTCACTGTCATTGATGGGCTTGAGGGTTTGAACGTGGTCGGTGTTGATGTTGTTGAAGTGAGCCCACCTTTCGACACCAACAGCGAGGTCACCAGTTTGGCGGCCACTGCAGTAATGGATTCCATTTTGGGGCTCTTGATCGTGCAAACCTTGGACTAGGCCACATGACTGGCCTATGTCAACATAAAATCCATCTGTTTCGTTATTCAACAACAAGCGTGATGATATTTGATGCTAAATAGACTTGAACGTACGTGGACACCTGAAACAAGCATATTTCTTATACCACTCTGAACTTGGAGAAAAGTAGCGGGGAGATTGTTCCAAGAAGAAGGCCACTGAGACATTGAACACTTCATTTGCAATTTCTTTTCGGGCTTCCGTAGATTACGTTGCGACTGAGGTGGCGTTTTTAACACCTGGAGCTTTGTGGATCCTGGTGTTTCTTTGTTCCGATTTCGTGCATCCTAACGATTCAAAGGGCGAATCAATGCTGAAAACAATCTCTCACGTAGAGGTCAACAAGAAAATGGCTCAAACCGAAAAACCTGGCGGTTGTGATTTGTCATACAGATACTCATCCAACCTCAAGATAAGTATAGATCGATACAAATACCCTATAGTGTGACCCCAACCTCCCTTCGCCAAACCCAAAACATCTAACAACGATGCGAGCTCACGCGTATCCGGAGCTTAGACCAATGCGTCTGATATTTAAGGAACAATATAGTTGTATTATTTTTTTTTTGAATAATTGAAATTGGCTTGACTTTCTTTGCTTCTTTTTTTGATTTGACGCTGAAACTCGTTTTAGCCCAACTCAACCTGTTTGGAGGCATCAGACTCTGCGATCAGTAACTCCAATTACAAACCATGGAATACCATGCGTCAGTAGATGACGTCAGAATGAAACAGCGATACTGAAGACTATATGAAGTCAGCAATCTACTCGTAGTATTCGAAAGAGTAAGCAATATCAGGAGCAGCAAAAAATCTTAACTTCCCGGCTGCCCTTACACTTACACCAAATCACAGCAAGATTACCTCATATTCCAGCTTCTCTTCCTTAAAATTTTTTGACTGGATACCTTCTGAGAGACTTGCTGTAGTATGGCATCTTTAACAAATTTACTTGTTGTATTTGAGCCGGGTCTTCTCGCGGTTTTTACCATATTCTCATCATACTTCAAACCTCAGACAGCAAAAACATTGTAACATGATAACTGATCCAGCTTCCACAGACGAATTTTGTGTAAGAGATCATAGCTAATTTGGTTGAGGTCGGAGCTTCTCGATATTGAGGAACTTGGAAACCCATAGTAATGTGAGGTATTTTTTTCAGTTTGCGACGAGTGGGGAACATGGTACTGTCGAGATAGTAAACGAGACTATATTATACATGGGCGATTTGTGTGCATTGTGACTGCCCGTGTCATTATTCAGACGGTTCATGATAAAAAGGGTCTGCTTTATGTGTGCCAAATCAAAACACAATGAACAACATCACCACACATTTCCCAGCTGCCATCATAACAATATAATAACTCAGAAAGTGGTCACATCTGCAGTCTCTTCCAATAATAATTTTGAGATTTAGATCAAGATCTTTAACAAAACTCGAAGCAGAAACTGGGTATGTCTGCAGGAAGACGCTCAATATAATTTCGAAACTTCTTTATTCAGTCCTGGCTTTTTTTTGCAGCTTTATCTGCTAAAAGGAGCAAGACTATATGATAATTCCTTTGACAGTCCCAGGAACTGTAATTGGTATGTAGTTCGCAGGAGACCAGGAGCAAAGACAAATGTACGTCTTGCCGCCCTGTCAAATGTTTTGGTCTTATGGGACGATGTCATTGAGTTAAGATTGTTCAAGTGGCCGACAGTGGTTATGGGCAGAAGTCTTTTGTCACATCCTCTCTGGAAGATTTTGTGAATTGGTACTCGCGCCTTCTCACCTGAGCCAATGTTGCGATAAACTACAGGTTTTTTCGTATTTCTGGTAGTAGCAAGGTCTTGTATCCCTCTAGTGACACCCTATAATATGATGTTTCTCCGAAAAAAAACCCATGATGATTCTCTAGAGTATATATATAAGCCATTCAACAGCTCACAGATTGTTTTGTTTTTGGTAGATTCAACTGATTAGAGACATTTTTTTGGTAGATTCATCTGATTCAAGGGGCAAAACTATATAACGAATATATATAAAAAACCTTTAAGCAGCTCCCAGCTACGTACCAAGTGTCTTAGCTCGGCCCGTCCCCTTCTGTTAGTCACGGCCTGGACAGTCCTTGATTGCAGAGATTTTGGTACTAGCTGCTCAGTCTCAACTGTAACTCAAAACTCAAAGATAGGATATGAGCTCATACATTCTTTTTTAATTGCACGCAACTATTGTTTGGTAAACAAATAAATAACATGTGAGGGCACGTGGTCTAGTGGTATGATTCTCGCTTAGGGTGCGGGCGGTCCTGGGTTCGATTCCCAGCTTGCCCCTCACAATTTTTTTAAATGCTGATATATTACCGCTTTTACTCTAATCCTTTGAATTGAATAGGGTAATCGTGTCAGCCTAGGGCACTATATTCGGGTAGTCAACAAAAGTCAGACGTATTTTACATGAGAAACTTCATTGCTTTACACGATCATGTCTTCCCAATGATCTGCCGATCTGAAGAATTTTGCTGAAAGGTGCGACGATACCGCAAGTCTCTAATTTATGACCAGTCAGTTGGGATTTAGACTTGATAAGTTTTGGGTACAAGTATTTTCTCAACCCAAAAATTGCTAGCAAAGATTCAGTTCAATGCATACTCTCAAACAACATGAAACTCCTGGCTTCAATATTCAAGCAATGTCGGACTTCACGATTAGAAACAATGTATTTTAACTCATGGGATCACACGCAAAAATCACTGGGGAATAATATAGACGCTTACTCTCAGGAACGACGACATTTCATAAATTAAATACCTTCGGGTCACCTCATGTATAAACTCATCATGGGAATCGAAAGGCTAAGTTTTGGGACATTTGAATGATATGCATATTTGCTCGAGAAGACTGATATACTCCACCAAGATAGACAAAAATGAATATTCCGAAGCGTGAAAAGAATAGGCAGCTGATCCAACCAGCTCTTTGATGAAGTTCACAACACACCTATGACCCTATGAATCAAATTCTATATGAACTCTCCTCACCCAAGTAACAGAAGGGGCTGGTCATCAAGAAGTAGAAGTTCGAGCCTTTGAGTCGTGGAGGGCGAAAGCAAATTCCGGTGACTCTACAACGTTTTGTTTGATTATATCTGAAGATCATTCAGAACAAAAAACGGAAACACTTCTGGAAATCATTATGCAAAGCAGGATGGGTGAAGCGGTATAATCTATAGATCCTCAATCACTTTGACTTTAGAGTATGTGTCCCCGGCAAGTCTTTATTCGGGAAGAATCAAACTATATGCTATTTCTGCACAAGCAATGGCTCCTGATCAGGGATGTGCCAGAGATGCCCTCCCAATTTGTCCCTATACTAAATATGAACTCCAAATTACCTTTGGCAAGAGCTTGATCTTGCAAAACTCATTTGTGAATCATCAAAAGTGTCCACCCTCATCCTTGGAGAACTTGAGGAATTTAAATTGGTTTCTTTTCATACTTGTAGCTTGACACTCAAATACGCGATGAGCCACAGAATTTTAGCTCCTCGGTAGTAAAAAGTCTGATCCGTGAGTGGACCTGCAGGGTAATTCCCGCATCCGAAATTATTTGCTGCATCCGAGATCGTTTGCTGCATCCGAGATTCATCGCCGCATTCGTTCGGGGGATCGGAGATACACAGATACATATGTCCCTAGCATGAATTGCGAGACTGACGTACTGGATTTGATTATGCATTGTCTCACAAATACTCAGTTTTCTTTGGTCGCAAAAAAAACATTAGCTTTTGAACAATAAAGTATTTCACCCGAAAGTCTTAAAGCATGAATCTCTTAGTGAAGAGTGTAAAACTCGCTGTTCTGCAGGCTACATATTTCATCCTAATGTGCCCAGCACGGTGCGGTCCACCACATCCGAACTTAGCTTCTGCATGTTATACCTCACCCTACATACCATGCATCTAAACTGAGCTCGCGCGGGGGACTGCACGCTGGACATTTCACATGAGAGTCATCGCCGCGCTCAACCGGCGGACCGGTAGCAGGCACATACCAAGGTTTCATTCCAGGCAGCAAGATTAGTAAGTCGCATTAGGATATAAAGCACTGTACAACGGTCATTGAGCATTGGTTGCATTTTTTTAGTCCACTTCATTTTCATTGGTTCTGACTGAGCCGTTATTTTTACATTTTCTAGATCGCGGCACAAGATCCGCGTCATTCATCACCCTACGAGTACATAGACGTGTTCGAAATATCAAATTTCCTTGGCAAACTAGTTACTCAAAACAAAGCATTCCGAGTATATTGACCACATATTCTCGACGACAATCTACAATAATATCTGGTGTGCAAGGCTCGTCTGCTCTTCGCCATCCCAATTCATTCTATTCAACAGACAAATCATTTCTTACAAGCAAATCATGAATGCTATGGCAAAAACATCCTCGGAAAACTTAGCCGTCATTTCCAAGCCACTGAATGACCCCACTATTTGTGACAGTGAGCTTGGGTCGGAGGAAAAGAGACAGTGCGAGGACCACGAAAAAGGCTTAGTCAAGGAAGAGGAGGCAGACGAAAAAGACAAGGTGATTTCAGCACAGACTCTTGCGGAGATTCCCGACGGCGGCTACGGCTGGTTTATTGTGCTTGCGTGCTTCTTGCTCAATTTCAACACGTGGGGCGCTAATTCTGGGTTTGCCGTCTACCTTTCCACGTACTTGAATGAAGACACCTTTGACGGTGCTAGCAAATACGACTATGCCCTCATTGGAGGCATGACTTTTGGGGTAGGCTTGGTGTTTGCGCCTGTGGTGAACTGGACACAGGGTAAGTTGGGCATCCAGCTCACGATCATACTCGGTATGTGTTTCCAGTTTGCTGGCTTGATGTTGGCATCGTTTTCCAAGAAGTTGTGGCAGCTCTATTTGACGCAAGGTATGCTCCAGGCGTTTGGGCTTGCGTTCATGTCGATCCCAGCGATGGCGATTTTGCCTCAGTGGTTTAAAAAGAAGAGAACGTTTGCGGCCGCAATCTCTGCAGCTGGCTCGGGGTGTGGAGGTATTATGTACAACTTGGCCATGCAAAAAGTGATTGAAATCCAGTCCGTTTCGTGGGCGTTGCGTGCCCAGTCGATTCTTTGTTTCGGACTCTCGTGGATCTCCATTGCGCTTATACGCACACGAATGCAAGTCAAGTTTTCGCTTTTCGATGTTTCCGTGTTGAAGACGGCCGGGTTCTACATTGCCACGTTTTATGTGGTCTTCTGTATGCTTGGATACGTGGTGGTGCTATACAACATGGCCAATTTCACCACTTCGCTTGGCTATTCGGAATACCAAGGCTCCATTGCCTCAGCTATGGTGCAGGTCGGGTCCGTGTTGGGCAGGCCTGTTGTGGGCCGGATCTCCGATGTATTTGGCGCCATCACCGTCACTTGTGCCGCGTACTTTTTATCGGCTGTCTTTGTCTTTGCACTCTGGGTGCCAGCCAAAAACTACGCTATGATCATCGTGTTCTGTATCATCGAGGGCAGTCTCATGGGCCTGATCTTTGCCACCATTGCGCCCATTTGCGCCAAGCTCTTTGGGTTGAAACGGGTCAACGTGTCTTTGGGCATGCTCTGGATTTTCTTGGGGTTCTCAGGCATAGCTTCGCCTGTCATTGGGCTTTCGTTGAAGACCGGTGGGACTGGGTACGTCGGGTCGGACCAATACTTGCATTGCTCCATTTTCTCTGGGGCTGCTTTTGTGGCATGTTTTGCGACGTTGCTTATCATGAGAGGATACGTGATCCACAGGCAAGAGATGGTGACACTGGATGCGGACGAGGGCCACATGCATGTTACGGTGCCTTTTCTTGCACCATTCTACTGTGCTTTGAAGCCGGTGGCAAAGATCTAATTCTTTTCATATTCTCAAGTCTCTTGTGAGGCATTTCCCGGAAATGTTGCGGTTGTGTCTGATGGCGGCCTGGGCTGCCCACTATTGATATACCTGAAGATCTTTATTCGGCACTCCTAATATTCTACGTCTCGCTCTTAATCACATGTTCGTGCCGTGCACTCGTCTGATCTTCGCAGAGTTACCTCGAAGACATCTGGAAAAAACAACCTCAAACTCAGATTTGTTTGATCAATGTATATGTAGAACGAATTTCCACAAAAGGCACACGGCGGAATCAAGGTGCAAATGATACGCGACCGCTGGATTTCTGAGGTTGGCAAATTTCTCTTGGATACCCTCTACTGCGACGGGGCCCGAGATGACTCTGCATTCCGGGTAATTATGTCATTTAATTCTCTTCAAAATTCTGTCTGGTTTTTTACGACAGACTTGCACTAGGAATTTCCCTACACTTCAATCACATTCAAGATGCATGATCTTATGATAAATGTTCAATAAGAACACGATGAGCCCCGCGAAACATCCGTGCACCACGCAAATCGCTAACAAGGTGCCGTATGCAAGCCCATCAAGAAACAATAAATCAATACATGTGGTCCAAGGCAGCAGAAATATAGAAGAGAGGCGTAGAAGCGCCCATTAAAACATACAGGGATCATTATCATATAGTCCTTTATCATGGAGACTGAGACGGAATACACAGCCAAACGCCCCAAGCTAGAAGATCAGGATCCTGGCTCGGGGCCTGGCTCTGACTATGCAAACCAGATCTCCGATGCTTCAAATACGGCTGCAGACACAAAAAACGATGCGGTTCTAGCTGCGGCGATTGGCGATTTAAAAGCTGAAAGTGTGTCTAATTCTCCTGTGGCTGAAGAGGGCCCGATTCTGGGATATTGCGATCCTTTGAAGATGGCAGACGGGTCCGTGGAAACCGAAACGGAAGTCGCTACTTCGAATAACCAAACCTCTGACCTCCCGAAACCCGAAGTCAACCGCTCTTTTCACGAATTGTCTTTAGTAGAAAGCAAGAATACAAACGCAGATCTAAATCACGGGGCCTTGCCGGTGCCTGCCTCGCACAATAGAGACCCCATGAAAATACAACACGACGATTTGAAGGACTTAAGCTCACATACAAGTGACGCAAAAACCCATAATTACTCCAATCCATCAATATCCCGGCTTGTTGTCAAGAATGCTGAAAGCTACGACTTCACTATTCTCATCAATGACCTAAAAGAGGATATCAAGAGCCGCGTCACGGAGATTTCTTTAGAGGAAGCTTCTTCAATTGAGGCGCAGCGATTTGATCACACTCACGTCTGCATTTCCTTCAGAGACCCAGCTGAAGACCTCGTGGCCCAGCTAAGATCCGTGTTTCTGTCGGATTCCCAAACTCTCAATAATACCGGGAAAATACACGTGCACTTTGATTTCGGCGGGGAAAAAGACTGGAATCAATGGCCGCAATCTTTCCGGACCTCGTATCTACTGCTATTGAGTGAACTCCAAAAGGCTTATGGGCCGAAAGTCACCCAGTGCTCGTTCCTAAGAAAATACAGCCCCAGGAATGAGACACTGGGCCCCGATGATGATGCATCACGAATAATCAAGGATATTCAGGAGGAAAGTTGCCGGTGGAGCAATCTCACGTTTCTTGACTATTCATGCAACACCTTGAAGCTGGTTTCTGGCATCCGGTTTCCTGATACGCTAGAGTCCTTGAATATCGCTGGCGGCCAAAGTCTCACGTCGCTCCAAGGCATGCACCTACCCAGCCTGTTGAAACTTCTTGATGTGTCCCAAAACAAGATCTCAGACATCGACTACATAATGTTCCCCAAGACTCTCCAAACACTCAGCCTAACTGAGAACCACATTTATTTCTTGGAGAATGCCGACTTCCCGTCTGCCTTGGAGAACCTCGACATTTCATGCAACCGAGTCGAGAGCTTGCGAAACGTGGTTTTCCCAAGAGGCTTGAAGTCGCTTTCCATCTCGGGGAACCCCATTGAATGTATCAAGGGCGCCCGGTTTCCCGAAGGCATAGAGTATTTGGATGCATCGAATCTCCCGAATGAGTCCATGACCGGCATCAAGTTCCCTGACCTGACGAGGTTTCTCAACTTGCAGTCATCCATGACCAACACCCGGGGCTTGAAGTTGCCCCCGCTTGTCGAGGAATTGAACTTGGGATGCAACGGCGTCAACAGTATCAATCCCCTCAAGCTCCCAAACTCGATCCGGGCGCTTTACTTGTGTGAAAACAACATAAAGACTCTCAACAAGGTGGCGTTTCCGACGGCGATCCGAGAGCTTTTCTTGGGCAACAACATGATAACCACGCTCAAAAACGTGCAGTTCCCTCCGGCGCTCGAGCTTTTGGACTTGGACATGGACCCGGACACAGACGAGCACGAGAAGTACATCACGTCGTTGAAAGACGTGTACTTCCCGGCGAACTTGCGTGTGTTGAGGTTGGGGTACCACCTAATCAAGTCCATCGAGGGCATTGAGTTCCCGTACCACTTGGAAGAGTTGTCGCTCGCGTACAACGACTTGCGCGTGTTCAAAAACGTGAGGTTCGGCCCCAAGATCCGTACGTTGGACCTCTCGGGCAACCAGGATCTCCTCAGCTTGGACAACGTGGTTTTCCCGGAGTCGCTCCGCGAGTTGAAGGTGCCCTCGCTCGCAGTGGACAACCTCCCGCCTACAATCGTGGAGCGTGCCAACCGCCACGAGTTGGTGATTACCAAGTCGATGCCATACACTACATAGAACGTTCTAAATATACAAGTGGAGAGTTGAGACAAGCAGCGCGGGTCGCCGCGGGCATGGGGACCCAGCAGCTTGGCCCGCGGCTTACTCGTCGTCCTCCTCGTCGGAAGTGTCCTTCTCGTCGGCCTCCTTTCTCTCCAAGAGGGCCTGCAACTCGGCGTCTTCCGTGGCGGTCACCGCCTTTGGAGCCATGGTGATTTTGAGGTTTCCTCCGGCAGCCTCGATGGACGCAGAAACCTTCTCGATGGCCTTCTCCAACAAGGCAACGCCCTGGTTCTTGTCCAAGGCCTGTGTGGAAATCACGTACAAGGGGGCCGCCACCAACTTGGCCTTGACTTGCATCTGTTCCGTCAGCTCCAGCTCGGCCGCCTTCAACGCGGTTTTGATGGCGTCGATGCCCTCGTACGCAAAGCACGACACCTCGACGTCGGCCCTCACCTTGATTGCCTGAGGCGTCAACCGGCGGCTAATGTAGAGCTTCAACTCCTCCAAGATTTCCGGGTACGGCGCCTCCACATCGGCGAAAATCGAGGGGTCTGTGATCAGCAACTTGAAAGCGTCGTACGCGTGGCCGTATTTCCGCAGCAACGGCCAGCCCACGGTCTGGTACAAGGTCTCCAACAGCACCATGTACTTTTCGGCACAGTGCCTCAAAATCAGGTGCACGGCCTTCAGCTTGTTGTAACGCTCGTCACACTTGACGATATCCTCCGCAGAAACTCTTCTTTTGGACAAGTCGATGTAGCCCTTCTCCTTGTCGACCCTCAAGACGACGGCCACCTCGTTTTTGCCCACGCGGATCAACTTCTGGATAGATCTGATTCTCCTTCTAGACAACTCACTCAACAAAACCATGCCCTCGATATTGTCGTACTCAAGCAACTTGACGTACGCGCCCATCTCGGCAATCTCCTGCACGTTGACCATGACCACCTCGTCGACCTCGGGGTACTTGTTCTCGTAGAATCGGCAGTTGGAGCTACTCATTTTGTGGTGGGTTGATTAGTATGAGGTTGGTGCTGGCGCTTGATTATGCCTAGGTAGCCTCAAACTTTTTCTCGCGTGGGCCGCGCACGACCGCGCCGGATCGGCTCTTTGGGCTGAAGATTGCGCCTGGTATCCTGGGATTTTTGGAAGCGGCTGAGGTTCGGAAAGAAAGACGAAAGTTTGGTTTTTTTTCGAAGAAGAGGCGCAATTTTCGGTGCTATGGTGCTGTTGGTGGGGCCTCGAGAAGGAGGGAGAATTAGGGCCTTTTGGGCCGGGCCAGGTTTCGCGCGATGGTGCCGGTCTGCGAAGATGGGTAATATTACTCTGGTTTTCTGGTTTCAAGGTTCTCTGTTTCTTTGGATCTCTGTATCTCTGTTTCTCTGGATCACTCTTTCTCTGGATCTTTCTGGCTCTCTCTTTCCCTGATCCTCTGTTTTCTGGGAACATTTCTGGCCCTCATTCCCCTGGCTCTTGGCTTATTCTCTTTCTTGTTTGACGTGTTTATCTGTCCCCTCTTGTTTTTCTCTTCAGTTTCTTTTCCTTAAGGTTTGCCTGGCGTCTCCCTTTTGTGTCGAATTGCTGATCCCGTATTTCTCCCACCATTCAGGCATATTAGTGTGTGGCTCTTGCGGACCGCACCCTAATTCATAAGAGCAGCAGGTGATTCAGAAACACAAAAATTTACAGAAATCCTTGGCCTCCTTCCTAAAAAAGTCTCCAAACAAATTGTCAAGACAACACGTTTCGATATCTCGAGCCGTATTCCACAGGAGAAAAACGAAAGGTCTGCATGATCTTTACACAGCATCATTTCCACTGAATACTGGTTTACGAGATAGGTTCAAACGAAATGTGTAGTAAACTTCAATACTAGCTAAAAAGCTTGCTGGCTTGACTTTGGATATAACCTGGGGGCTATGTCGAAACACGAGCTTACTATTTGAAGGGATTTAGGTGTTTCTTGACAGCGAGAAATGCTTATGTTTAGTCGTTGCGTGTAGATTTTCAAGACACGTTTGAAAGGCGATCGTTTTGTCTCCATGCTTATAGATATCTGGGGTCATTGGCTGTATCTATGAATTCACTGTTGAGAATAGCATGGCAATTTCTGGGATGTTCGTCATAAGCGGGGCATCAGTTTCAGCGGGAGTTTTTGGGAAGTACTATAAATTTTCAATACAGAGTGAGTTGAGTTTTGTCTCTGATTATCTTTCAGAGACCCGACAACTTTAAAACTTAAACACAAATTGGGACGAAATCTATGCATGAATCTCGAACAGAGTGTCTCAAAAGACATTACCACTCTTCTGTAGTAGATAGTGTGGATATGAAATCATGATGACCGAATCTAAAAACTAACTCATAGAAGCGTCCATGATATTCGTGGCATGTCACTCTTGTCATGTATTTACCCAAAAGACACAGCTCAAGTGCAACAAGCATACCATTAGTTAATTCAAGTGGTCGGTCAGGTGGCCCTTCCTCACGTCGTTTCCTCTTCCAAAGTCAATGTGGCCTAGCATCGCCAGGCATTTCTTGCCTCAGCCCGATCCTGGCGCATGTGCCATTTTTTGAAGGGTTGCCGTCACAGCCAAAGAAAGAAGTCCCCTCTTCCCTTTCTGCTTTCATCCAAGATCTCGGTTGCTCACACCGTATACTCGCACGTGACAACAGCTTTATAAGTAGCCAGTTTCTATTTCAAGCTGATGACCCACATCTTTTTTTTTAAAAGACCAACACGAGAATGACCCAGAAATTTAGACTGGGACTAGCAAGGTTTCTTTCCTTTTAGAACGGAAACAGGAGCAATACCCCTCTACAGACTCGGTCCTATTCTCGGGACTCGCGGCTCTAATTTGGCCGGGTACATCACGCACTTTTCGCAATTGCAACCGTTTTCTATGTTGCAACTTGGCGTGAGACCCACTACTCCATATATAAAGAGGACCTGAGCGTACCTTTGAATACACACTTTTTTCATGACGGATTTCCAGGCATACAAAGGCACCAATTTCTACGTGCCCTCGCGCTACAAAATCCAGGAGGTTTTGGGCCGGGGCTCCTACGGGGTGGTGTGTGTTGCCATCGACACAAAGTCCCAGGACCCAGTCAAGTTGGCCGTCAAGAAAATCTGCAAGATTCTACAAAGAGAGATCTTGCTCAAAAGAGCCATCCGGGAGTTGAAGCTCATGCGCTTTTTCCGGGGCCACCGAAACGTACGTGAAACCCCGTTGTCGGGACTCCTCGGTCCATGATGCTTATTTCAGACCAGTGCCTGGTTCCTTTTCCCGGGGCCCGTCTGCAAGCACCCGGCCCTTTTCTTTATTCTTGATCTTTTGTATTTTTGCAAGGCACTAACCTCCAGATAGTTTCGCTTGTAGACGTGTACTTCATCACGTTGTCTCCCTACGAAGGGCTCTACTGCTTCCAGGAACACATGGACTACGACCTCGCCAGAGTCCTCTACTCCACCGTGCAGTTTCTGGAGTTCCACATCCGCAACTTTCTCTACCAGGTGGTCTGTGGCATCAAGTACATCCACCTGGCCAACGTCGTGCACCGCGACCTCAAGCCAGGCAACATTCTCGTGAGCTCGCGGGGAGTTTTGAAGATATGTGACTTTGGGCTTGCCCGCGCCATTTCGGGCTCGCCGTCCAACAGGTCCGAGGAGCCAATCACAAACTACGTGGCCACCCGCTGGTACCGGGCGCCGGAATTGATTCTCCGGTCCACCCACTACGGCAAGGAGGTGGACATGTGGGCCGTCGGCTGTATTTTGGGCGAGCTCTACGGGCGCCAGCCATTGATGCCCGGGAAAAGCTCGGTGCACCAGCTACATGAGATCATCAAATACTTGGGCAGTCCTCCCCCGCACATCAGCATCCGGCGCGATTGGGATCTTCCCGGCGGCGAGCGCAAAGCCGTCAACTGGTCCACGGTTTATCCTTTTGCGTCCGCAGACAGTCTCGATTTGCTTGGCCAGCTCTTGAAGTGGGAGCCGACGGCCAGGCTCGACGTGGAGCAGACCATCGCACACTCGTTCTTCAAGAAGATCAGGGACATCACGTGCGAGCCCCAGAGCCGGTCTGTGTTTAATTTTGGGAAAGAGGAAAACGAGGACGACTTGAACAAGTTGCACGGGTTGCTTAAAGAGGAGGTGGCGGCGTTTCAAACCGAGAGAAACAAGAGGCTAGTTTAGAGCCAGTGCTCCCGGAAAGCAGGTTCATAGCCGACAAATACAAGATGTAAGAGAGAGGAGGCAGAGAGAAGCCCGGTGCTGGTGTAGCATGTTCGTCCAGCACAGGTGGTCACGTGTGGTGCTTACAGTGGGTGAGATAGATGATCGCATGCGCCCCGGTCTTCTCTAAGGGTAAAGCAGTGCGGAGGGCTGGCTGACCCAAACCCACTTCCTGCAAGACAAGCAAAAAGCCCTGTTGGATTTGTTTTTTTCTTGTCCCTCCCCTTTTCTTGTTTACGTTTCTCATGTGCCATTGTGGGGAGACCTCGGCGAGGCGCGAGCCTCGGTGCAAGCCTCGCACCCCGCTTCACTGCACTCCAGATCTGGCCACACGTCTCGGGCAAATATGGGGAAATAGTATAAAAGCCGGCGGGAGCCGGGGTTCATCCCGAGCCGTTCTGTTTCTGGAAGCACGAGCTGAAACACACCCGAGACGCACGTGACACAGCTTTGCAAAGCATCAACGAACCATGTCGGTCTCCCATCCAAACCTCGAAATCCTCGGTTTCACCGTCAACTATGAAGACGGCACCAAGAACGAAATCCCGGTGAAGGGCTCCAAGTCTATAGAGTTCAAGATCCCGGAGGACACCACGTACCAGACGACGATTCATTTTCTAGTCAAGGAAAAAACCTTGAACAAGCTCAAATACAAGCAGGAGGTCAAGGCTTTTGGCATGGTGGTGCGCAGTCGCGAGGTGTTTGTTGGCGAGCAATTTGCACCCAGAGACACGCCGTATGACGTGACCTTCGACAAGGACTGCACACCCAAAGGGATGATTCTTCGGGGCGAGTACAACTGTGTTTCTACGTACTATGCCGATGGCGAGGTGTTGTTCCAGTCGCCATGGAAGTTGAATGTCACGAAAAAGTGAGGTGGAAGCATGTGTCTGAAAGACGTTTTAGATCGCCCTGGCTGGCGGCGCAAATTAGATGAAAGCACATAGACCGATACATGTGTCTGGTGCGCGCTGTGAAACCAGCATAGACAATGCGTATAGTAGAATCAATGACCGCTATATCTACACGATCGGTGAGGAACGCTTATGGAAGAGCAGATCTGGGCTGTACTTCTGTAGTCCTGTGGAGCTTTGTGATTTTGGCCGTTTTTCTGGCCGAAAAATTCGTGATTTCTGGAGTATAGTGGGGAGGTCTGCTAGGCAAGGTGCCTATATCCGTCCATTGTAGAATAGTCTGCGGCGCCCCGCAAACCAGGCGACTTTCTTGGCATTGGCTTGAGCCTGAGAGCGGCGGTCTTGCGGCATAATTAGCTTTTCCCTCGACCCGGACTCGTTCCTCGTGAAGCAGGTTTTTGCTTTGTTTTGTTCAAGCACCTCCCGCCATCGTTTCTCCCTATGATCTCCCTCTAATATCGCTTTTTATGCGAGGGGCCAGCAAGGCCATTCTGGAGGGGCTAGGTTTGTATTTACCTATCTCTTCATGACAGAAGGGACTCTATCTACTTTATATACCCGTCGGGGAACCACGTAGATAGAGGGACTTTAGAGGATATTGATATCCGGAAGAGTTCATGTCAAGGTTTCTGAGAATATATATGCACTTACAACGATATCCGGTGTTGGGATGAGCTTACACTTTGTCCTTGCAGTGGCTGCTGTGAATGCGTCTATCACTATCTGATAAAACTAGCTCCTAGTATGTTCCTGTGTCAACTCGTGTTGATGTCTCCCAGTAAAATGTCTCATCAGTGTTCCCAGTACGATATCATTTTACCATGCCCTTATATTTATTTCATACATGTCCCCAATTTTTGTATAACTCTCATTTACTATCTTGTGTTGCCAGCTTGTATTACTGTCTCATATTACCATCTCCCATATCTGCAATATCTACCATTCTCTCCGGTCGATATCTCATAGTATTATAAACCTCCATAACTCCTTCACGTTCCGTGCTTCTTCATTGATATGTCTTTCATCTTGCTCCTGTCCATTATCCCCATATTTCCCCTAGAAACAAGTGCACCCGAACTTTGACTTCCCAAGTGCGCCGGCATTCGCACCCATTAATTTGGCCCCAGCGCCGCGAACCCTCACGGGGCCATAAAACCTGAACCGCCAGAGCAAACCGCTTGCACCATAGAGAGAACACAGACTTGTTGGTCCCGTAATCAACTCAGTGCAAATTACACAGGGAAATAAATATAAGCGAAGCAGGGAAATTAGTGCAAGCTTAGCAGAGAAATCAGTGCAAGCTAAGCAAGAAAATCAGACAAGCCAAACAATCATATCAGTGCAAACTGAACAATCATATCGGTGCAAACTGAACAATCATATCGGTGCAAACTGAACAATCATATCGGTGCAAACTGAACAATCATATCGGTGCAAGCAGAACAAGAAAGTCAGTACAAGCTGGACAAGAAATTCAGTAAAAGCTAAGCAATATCATAGTGCAAACTGAACAATCATACCAGTAAAAGCTGAACGTGAAATTCAGTTAAAGCTGAACAATTATATCAGTATCAGCTAAGCAAGATCATAGTGCAAACTGAACAATCATATCAGTACAAACTAAACAACCAAATAACTACAAACTGGACAAGAGTTTTAGTACAAGCTGAACAATCGGTATAGCTAAGCAAGAAAACCAGTGCAAACCGAACATTCATATCAGTACAAGCTATCATCAGCACAAGCTGTCATATCAGTACAATTTATCATACCAGTACAAGCTGTCATATCAGCACAAGCTGTCATATCAGTACAATTTATCATACCAGTACAAGCTATCATCAGTGCAAGCTGTCATATCAGTACAATCTGTCATACCAGTGCAAGCTATCACATTAGCTGAACAAGAACACATATAACTGCCTCGCCAGCGCACCCCGTCTTGCTTCTCCCCACTCATGCTGACTCGCCCAGCCACCCACTCTGGGTCCTGGTACTCCAAAGACCGCACGGTCCTTTCCGAACAGGTGGCCCGTTTTCTTGCCCAGGCTCCGCCCCCGAAACCCGGGGCCAGGGTGCTTGTGGGGCCTCATGCGGGATACGCGTACTGCGGACAGAGGTTGGCAGAGACGTACAAGGCGTGGGACTGCCGGCACACACAGACCGTGTTCATCCTCGGCCCGTCACATCACGTGTTCTTCCAAGACACCGCCCTTTTGACGGCCCACGCCGGATACAGCACGCCCTTGGGGCACGTGCCCGTGGCCACCGGCATATGCGAGGCGCTCGTGGGCCAGGGGCTGGCGTTTGGCTACATGAGCGGATCCGTCGACGCGGACGAGCATCTGTTTGAGATGCACTTGCCGTTTTTGGTGCAGCGGTGCCTTGACGAAAACATCCCGGTGCCCCGCGTGGTGCCCATCATGGTCTCGGGGCTCTCGGCGCATGCCCGCGGCGTGCTCGTGGCGGCGTTGCGGCCGTATTTCGCCGACCCGCACAACACCTTTGTCGTGCTGTCTGATTTCTGCCACTGGGGCCGCCGGTTCGGGTACACAAAATACGTGTCCGACCCGGGCCTGCTGAGGCCCACGGCCTACGAGAAGGCCCCCGCGCACAAGGTGCCGATCTACAAGTCGATCGAGTATTTGGACCGCTCGGCAATGCAGGTGGCTGCGGCGGGGCTGCTGGCCGAATGGGACGCGTACATCGAGACTACAGGCAACACGATCTGCGGCCAGAGGCCGATTGCAGTCGTGTTGCTGCTTTTGGAGGACTACAGGGCGCGAGGCGGTGAGTTGGCATCTGGCGCGGTGTTCCAGTGGCTTGGCTACTCGCAAAGCAGCAGGGCCACGTCTGCCTCGGACTCCAGCGTCTCGTATGCCGCAGGATACGTGCAGCTCAAGTAGCGGCGCGGTGGTTTGGGCCTGGCCGGGTGGTGCTTGGTGTTTAGTCTGCGCTCATTGATCATTCAGGGGGGCATTGAAAATGACTGTGCGGCGGGATCCAAACGCCAGCCTCTGACCATTCCTGAAAGCAGCTAGGGTTTTTGATCCCGTGTCGTTCCAGCTACAGCAGTTCGCAGCCACATGCAGCTGATTGGCCAGTGAAGCAGCGCGTCCACTGGTTGAATGGCGCTTTTGGAATTGGTCCCCTTTAGCCGTCGGAAAGACCATCTGCTCTTTAATGCCTTCTGTGCGTCGAACGATGAAAGGAGAACAAAGACCTTTTGTTCTTCAAGGACGCCTCTAGAACTGGGCGATTTCCCAAGTGTGACTTATTCATTGCAGCCGAACAACATTAGATGGACGGGACGTTCTATGGAGAGCAGTATACGGAGATGTATACGGAGATGTATACGGATAGCTGTATACGGATAGCTGTATACTGGGAGATATTTACGGATAGCTGTATACGGAGAGCTGTCTACGGAGAGCTGTCTAAGGAGATGTATACGGAGATGTATACGGAGATGTACACGGATTGGCAATGCTTTCTCCGCATCCCATCATATCCCGGCTTCACAGCCACAAGCAGCCCGTCCGCCGTCCAAACAACCAGAAAACCGACCTCTGCCACAGCACTAATAAGCATACGCGCACTCCACCAAAAAGCGCGTGCTCATAACCGTGCGAGAGGGCGCGGTCTTAGAATACACCATTGATCTGGGCCCAGGAAGCCTGGATCCCGGCTCCTGCGGCTTTCTCCCACGACGCCCCACCACATCCACGTCTGCCAAAAACAAGCCTCTGGGAGGATTCGGCACATCAGAGCCTGAGCATTTGACCGCGTGAAACAGCTCATCAAAAAAGTCCGCCGTTCCATCATCCACCACGCCCCATGGACGCAAAGTTCTTTGGAAAGTCCAAGGCGTCCGAGCTCCGCGCCGAGTTGGAGCAGGCCCGCAAAAAACTGAAGCCGCAGCAGCGGGTGCGGGCCGTGTTGAAAAAGGTCGTGGCCAATATCATTTTGAACCGCCCGGAGTTGGCGCTGCTCATGCCGGACATCATCGGCCTCATGGCCATAGACGACTACGAGGTGCGGCGCCTCTGCTGCCACTACATAGTGCATTACGCAGAACTGAACCCGGCCGAGGCCGAGGGCCTGCTTGCTTTTTTTGCGCGGTTCGTGGCGGACCTCGATCCGATGCTCCGGAGCTTGGCCATCAAAACCGTATCGGATGTGCCGTTGCGCGTGTTTTCCAAAATGGCGTTTCTGCTGGTGCCATTCTTGCTCGTGGACCAGAACCCGCATGTGCGCACGCGGGCGGCGTTTGCCGTGGCCAAGTTGTACCAGCACGATGCCAAGACGACCGTGGCTCACAAGTTGATCGAAAGCTTGAACAACTTGCTCTACGACGATAACCAGATGGTCGTGGCCAACGCGCTCGCGGCGCTCCACTCCATCACGGAGTCTCTGGGCTCCATGGGCCTCAGCATCAACAAGGACAATCTGCTCCGGCTCATGCGCAGCGCGGCGGCCGCCAACGAGTGGCGCCAGGTGTACTTGCTCAACGCGCTCATGGCGTACGTGCCTCAGAGCTGCCAGGACGCGATCGAGGTCTTGGAGACCGTGGTGCCGGCTTTGCTGCACGAAAACGCCGCGGTGGTGTTGAACGGCATCAAGGTCATCCTGTACTTGAGCAACTACATCGACACGCCGGAGCTCGTGGTGCCGGGGCTCCCGGCCAAGTTGGGCGCAGTGCTGGTGTCGTTGCTCTCGAAGCCCCCGGAGCTCCAGTTTTTGGTGCTCCGCAATATCATCTTGCTTCTCTTGGGCAAGAAGTACTTGATGGCCGTGGACGTCGAGCTGTTCTTCTGGAAGTTCGATGACCCGATCTACATCAAAGACACCAAGTTGGAGATCATCTATCTCCTTGCCAACGAGACCAACATCGACGTGGTGTTCCGCGAGTTGGAGGAGTACGCCACGGAGGTAGACAGCAAGATGGCGCGGAAGGCCATCCGCGCGTTCGGCAATCTTGCGCTCAAATCCGAGGCCGCCGCCGCCAGCTGCGTGGACATCTTGGTGGACTTGATCTCCAATGACATTTCGTATATCGTGCAGGAGGCCAGCGTGGTCATCAAGAACATTCTCCGCAAGTACCCCGGCAAGTTCTCCATTCTCTTGGACAGCATCGTGCGCCACTACAAGTCGATGGAGGACGCCGATGCCAAGCTTGCAATCACATGGATGGTGGGCCAATTCTGCCAGCAGATCCCGAGCGCTGACGCCATCTTGACGCACCTCCTCGCCTCCTTCAACGAGGAACCGCTTGATGTTCAGTACGCCATGATCACTGCTGTGGTCAAGTACTACGTGCATTTTCCACATGCAGGCGAAGCACTAGTGCTCAACGTGTTGAAATGGGCCACTGAAGAAACTGACAACCCTGACTTGAGGGACCGTGGCTTCTTTTACTGGCGATTGATCACCCACCTGGAGAATGGAGGCGCAGACGAAGAGTTCCAGAGCCGGACGAAAGAGATCGTCATCAACATAAACCCAGAAATCAGCTCCGAGAGCGAAAAAATCGATCCCATGGTTCTCGAGGAGTTGGAACTCAATATTGGCTCGCTAGCGTCCATTTACCTAAAACCAGTGAAGCACGTCTTCCGCCTAGCCAAGAAAAAGCTGCTTCCCCCATCTCCAGCGTTGCAGCCGCGCCGCAAGCCGGACTTATCCTATCATGTAAACTCGGCAACACTGCAGCCTATTGAAAGGCCGCCCCGGAGAGAACACCTGAAACCATTGCCTCTAGTCGACAGGAACTTGAGCTCGAGCAGCTTTGGCACCAATTCTTCACGTGCATCGGCTGATAATTCGAAAAAGGAAAGTTTCGGTCAGAAGCTTTCTCGAAAAGCGTCTGTCATGACATGGAAAAAGAGCATGAAACACTAGATGTCGTTGCTCTCCTGCTTGATCACAAGCGGTTCCCTTTTCGCCTTTTTCACAGCGACTATCTGAACGTCTGGAGAGAACTTGACGATTTGTTCTCCTTTGGAGATTGTCTCTGTGCCTGTTGAAGGCATGTTTGGCTCGGGCCCATCTGGAACAGAGCTTTTCAATTCTTCTGCGTCAACCCCCAACAAAGTGCCAAGGATTATCACAGCCCCGGGTTTCGACATAACGAGCATGTTTTCCTTGCAAAATGTCCCTGCCACACACAGAGGACATCCCCATGCACACTCACAGTCTCGGACTCTTTCATACGTTGCACATACAATCTCATCAATATACTCGAACGTTTTGCCCGACATGCCTGTGCCTTGCTCACCGCCCTTTGAGTCGTAAAATATCAATCGTGCTGGCCTTTTCCTCATGGATTGCCTCCTTGCGAATTCTTTTTCTGGCGCTTTGCATTCGGTGGAAAGCTCAGCGTCAGCACCATTGGGGGTCCATCTAGCATTGGGGTTTGTAGTTGCCCCTCCGGTAACATACAAGGGGAGTACATTCATAATTGCATGTTGAGCGGCATGAATTCCACCAGCAGGATTGAGGCGTTTCTCCTTAATGATATCGACTGCCCTTGAAGGAATGTCTATCCAAAACCCTTTCGATTTCAAAATCACAGGTGGATTTTTGACTTCTACAGCCTCCAAAATATCGCTCTTGCGATTGACCTTGAAGTACCCAAAGACAATGATCATTGTCTGCACTTTTCCGTAAAAAACCGGGATATCAGTTGGTGCAGCGTTTTTGTTGATATTGAGCTGTTTCACCATCTCAATTTCCATGGGATCCACGTCTGAAAAATCTCTCTGCTGAGTGGTCCAGCTCACCTTGACCCTTTCGACCTTAGCATATCTGCCGTCCGTATTGAAATCCTTCACGAGATAAGGAAGTCCCTGGTGAAGAAATATTCCTCCCTCATAGAGCGTGAAGCTTGTGCGCAGCTCTTCCACTTCTTCGATGACGATGTTTCTGTTATCGGTGATGTCCACAACGGCGTACATAGTTTGCTCAATAGCTCTAAGCGACACTTTCTCTGCGGGCCACGGCAAATAGCGGGGATCTGTGCGATAAAAGCCCTTTTTATCCTGGTGCAATTTCTCGGTGCAAAGCTCCAAGAACTTTTTCGGGGCATTTGGGTCATTTCTAATACAAAACCATTTGCCGTCATTCTCCAAATCCAAGGGCCATTCGAAGGCGGCACATTGTAGGTGCATGGACATCACCAATCTATTCAGGCTCCCGTCGAGGAAACCATCTACGCAAAGATCCTCATAAGTTTTGTCGCAAAGCTCATGTGAGTTCTTGAGGTAGTGTCTGTCTATCGGCGAGGCTCCGCAAACCAAGATGGCCAAGCTGCCTTTAGAAGACTTTCCCCTGCCCGCTCTTCCGAATTGCTGGTGTAAATTCAGTTTCAGTATGGGGAACCCACACGAGACCACAACATCCAAGTCCGACAAATCGATGCCGAGCTCCAATGCATTTGTGGCGACAATTGCTCGTAGATGGCCCAGAAACATTTTATGCTCAATAGCCCGGCGGTCAGCTTTCGCGTATCCTCCTCTGTAAGCCATGACATCATGTTCACTGAGAGAGTTCCATTCTGGATGTTGTTTATCGGATATCAAGGTCTTGACTTCCTTGATCAAAAGCTCGCACACAGCTCTAATAGGACAAAAAACAATCACTTTGATTGACGGAAGTGAGCATAAGAGGTGCACGAGAATCTTGGCCAGTTCCCCTACGATGTTTTCTCTGGGAAGAAATGCAGATTGAATAGGTGATTTCAATGACGTGGCAGACTTCAATTGAGCCTGGGGAAGTTCTCGCTGGCCCTTTTTGTTCATCAAGATCGGGGGCTCCCATATCACCATTTTCTTCTCCGTGCTTGGGCTTCCATCTTCGAACACATGAAGTAACCCTTCCATCTGCGGGATCGCACAAAGGGTTCGGAAATGGGCTTCCGGGTTGTCAATGGTCGCTGAGCACGAAATATATAGCGGCACCGAATCATTCAAGCTGATCGTGGCTCGAAGACGGTTTAAGCGTGCCATGACATACAGGACATGGATGCCAAACGTTCCCTTGTAAACGTGCAACTCATCCATGATAACATACTTGAGATTGGAGAGAAACTCCAGCCAACCACGGTTTTGGCCATACTCCTCAGAAATCAGGTTTGGAAGAATAGCAGCGTGGATTGCATCTGGGTTCGTGAATATGATGTCTGCAAAGTTTCGGATGTAGCCTCTGCTTTTCGCCGGAGTGTCTCCATCATACGTGTCCACGACAATTTTCCGCTTATTTTGCGGAAGATGGGATATGAGCTCGCGAAGATGCCTCATCTGATCCTGCGCTAGGGCCTTGGTTGGGAAGATAAGCATGGCGGTGGTGGTGCGTTTCTTTTCGTTGACCCCAGAGTCACAGTCGCGTAGAATGTCGTTCAATATTGGGAGTTGGTATATGAACGATTTGCCCGAGCTGGTAGACGTTGACACAATCACGTGTTTCTTGTCGTTGACGATAGCAGATATTGCTTTTGTCTGGTGCAAGTATAGGCCATCTTCGACGGCATCCACGCCCTTATAATTCCAAAGTGCATCCACGAGATCCAGATGAAGAAGGCCCGGGGCCACCGGCTCCAACCGGGCAGTTCGAGCTTCAGTAAGCGTATAGGTGTTTCGAATCTGGTCTCGGAACAAGGGGGCAGTTTTAAGGGCCAGGAGCATTTCATCCAAATGCGGCTTTTCATTAGAAGAAACCCTGTTTCCTGCAGTGTTGGTGGCAGTTTCCATGATCGTCACCGGATCTGCCAAATTTGCCGGCTCGGGCATGCTCTGAGTACATGTTTCGACCAAACTTTTGAACGGCACTCCCTCACTCGTATCTTCTGAAGAAAACAGGTCCAAGTAGCCCTCTATGCATGCACAGAATCTCTCGTTGCGCCCTCTAATAATGGCCAAGAGCTGTTCCTGAGTAAGGCTCCCCAAAGACATATTGCTGCTCGTTGAAAAAAAACCGGGCGAGGCCGAAGTTTGTGTTTTCTGTCTTTTCTTACTCTGATAGCTTTTACCTTTGATGGCAGCTCCGATTCCTTGTGTCCGCACATCGCAGAACTCGAAGACTAGTAGCTGGCGTTCATGTCCCGGCGATTCGGCTTCTTTGGCCAACGCTTCGTAGGCGTCATCGACTGTTTTGGGCTGGTTTTGTGTGTACCCGTTCTGGGCCGAATATTGCACTTTTTCAAGGTGTTGGAGAAGTACTTGGTTTTCATCGAAATAGTCAAAAATGACATCCCCTTGAGGAAGCAAGTATTTTATTATCTGAAGATCAAGGTTAGAGATATCCGCGTCGAGTTTCCGGAGCAAGTCTGCCGTGGGAATCGTGTGGCGAGAGAAGGAAGAGAGAAACGTGAGGTGCGTGTTGATCTGATTGAACTTTCTATATAAGGACGTGAAAAATAAGGGCCACAGCTCTCGCAGGCTTGTGCCCTTTGATAGTGAGGATGACTCTTTTTTGGCGTTTTCAGACATGAGTGACAAAAGGGGCAAGAGTTTGTATGCTTGGATTCCCAGTCAATACCAATAAGACATAAAAGGAGAAATGCGAAATCTGGGGAAGGCGCATCGCGAGTTGAGACACGTGTCTAAGCTTCGTTTGAGGAGATGCCCTTGCAAAGCATCACCGATAAGTAAATAACATTCGTCTTCATTTCACTATTTTTTCAAAACACTGTTGATTTGGGAAATTAAAACTTTGCCACCAAGTAAGTGGGTACGAAATGCGACATAGCTTACTTTTTTTTAGTGGATTTATCTGATTAAAGGGGCAAAACTATATAAATAAGATATATAAGAATTCTTTAAACAGCTCCCAGCTACGTACCAAGTGTCGAAACTCGGCCCGTCTCCTTCCGTTAGTCACGGCCTGGACGGTCCTCCTGGCCCCTATCTGTTTACGTATTGGATATTACGTCATCGACTCCTAGGATAGGTCTCCTGTAGTAGTCGCTTCAACTCAGATGGTTGTAGCGGACCAACTTCAAACATACCTTGCCGGAATTAAATATTATTGTATGAGCTTAAGTTCGAATGAATAAGATATAAAAAAAAAGACTCTACAACACAGTAGGGCTGAACTGTACTTTCGTATATTCTGAGGTCCTTCCAAGCACGCGTATGTTGGTCTTTCCTTAACTTTCGACCGTAGTTAAACGTTCCGTAGAACAGAATATATTATTGAAGCACAAACATTTATAAAGCTCCAGCACTACGAAATTTTCGCTCCGTGTTCATATTCAAAATAAAAAACAAGAACAATATCGCGAGCTTTTTGAAAAACGTGAAGTCATGAAAGTGACAGATAACAAAAGCCGCCCAAGGCCTCAGTCATCCGGAAAAAAATCAATCTGAATCCCTTTGTATACATGTTAAGAAAACAGAAGAAGAACATATCCAAATATTGAGTAGAATTAGTAAGGATCTATTCGGTGAAGAGTGACACGAAATACTGTCAAAGATACCCAGGTCTTGTCTGAATTATCTCAAACAGATCCGGCTAATCTAGACAACATCTACACAAATTCCCACGAGTTATCTTGGTTCCATAGCCATTCAAAATCATGAAGGCTTGGAGTCAGGACATTTGGAAGGAATGATGGTGGTCTCCTCAATCATTAACACTGTCATCCAAGAGTCAATCAAAATGAGCTCTTCATACCCAAGGCTGTTCATGTGCTTATTCTTGATGTTTCCAAAACTCATGAATTACTGCCTAATTATTGCTGAGTACCTCTGAAAACACCAAATATATATACAGATATATACTCTAAATCTAGGACTTATATAATGGTATTCCTTGGCAGTTCTCTCTTTATTGATGTTAGTAATAAATTTCCAAAACTGACTCAGGTTTAGAGCCATGAAAATAAAAAACGCTCCAGAACATTGCACTTTTCACGACTTGCCCATCCAGAAATACAGGTCCATACCAAGTAGTTTTATATACATGCACCAAATTGTGCAAACCATCGCAATTCTATTGTTTTAGTGCCGTCAAATGCGAAAAGAAAACCAAATGAGTACGCATCTTTAAAAGAGAAAATACGGAATCACTTCTTTCTGTAAAAAATACATTAAGAAAGCTTCGTTGTTAGAATGACGCTTAAATAAAGGCGAATATCTGATCAGTAAAGCACAGTCACAGTAAGCCAAGGAAATGTGGACTGCAGCACATAGCCTCACGCGTACTCTCTATTGTTTTCTTGTTTTCTTGTTTCCTTTCTAAAGAGGGCTCATAATAAGGTAAACAAACACGCCCAAAACTCAGTACAGTCTTGCTCATTCCAAGCTTGTCTTGTGACCACTTCTTTGCGAAACAGCCACTCGTCCCAAATGTGGCAGAGCTGTTGAAAGTAAACCATATAAAAAGACAATTCATCATAAAACTCAAGAGAGATTTCTCAACTCAAAAGAGTTCATACGCTCTGGAACTAGCCAGGGAAAGTGCTGCTTTGTATCTGAACATTCTGCCGACAGTATGCAGCATTAATTGTAGAGAAAGTCGAACACGCGAATAATAAGTCTCGGCAAAATAACCAAAAAGCACTATATAAACGTGAGTCCGATCTTGGGCCGCATCTAAAAAGCTCAAGCTAAAAACTCCTTTCAACTGTCCTAAGTCATGAAGGGGTACTATCTCAGAGGCCCTAAACGCCACCTCCGGTCACTTTGCAATCTCACTTTCTTTAAATTCGATTTATTTTTCAACAATAATATGAAAGAAAATTCTGTCACAGCATGCTTTGTTTCCAACATCACAAAGCTCCTTCATTTCATCTTCTTTGCACATCTTACACTCGCTGGCTTCGGAGGAATAAATAGCGTTTATGGACACCCTGTTTTCTCAAATGACACGGGTAAATACCTACTTACGTCTGCAGACAAGGCCATCTATCTGAATATTACCCAGAAGCAATTTCGCCAAACAAGGCTTAACTTTGGAGTAAATTTAGGCGGCGTTTTTGTGAGAGAAAAAACGATATACCCCTCTCTCTTCGTGGATGGGGCAAATACGGAACTTGACCTCGTATCCCAGGCTTTGCGGGTTGATAAAGAACAAGGGAGAAGAAATATGGAGGCTCACTGGACTTCGTATTTTCTGGATGAAGATTGGAAGTGGCTAACCGAGAACAAAGTAAACTCTTTGAGGCTTCCCATCGGATTCTGGAATATTGACGGTGGGAAATATACTACAGGTACAAGCTTTGCGGAGTTTTCAGAGATGTACCAGAACTCTTGGCTGATTATCAAGTCTCACTATATTGAACCTGCCGCCAAAAGAGGAATTTCCATCTTGGTTGACATTCATGGGGTACCTGGAGGTGCCAACGTTAATGATCACAGCGGAGAAGTATACGGTAGTCCAGAGTTCTGGATCACCCCATCATTTCAAAATCTCTTGATTGAAGCGGCAGTCTTTGTTTTTGAAGATTTGAAAGAGTACGATAACATATCTGGAGTCCTGTTAATCAATGAGGCTTCATACGACTTTAATTCAGAACAGCAGAACTTTTACGCTAAGGCAATTAATGCTATACGTGAGAAAGAAAAGACAATTCCTGTGGTTATCTCTGATGGCTGGAATCCAGATTCATGGATCCAGTGGGTCAGTAGCAATCAGAACCCTAATGCTCCAGCGGGCATAGTAGTGGACCACCATGTTTACAGAACCTTTACTCCAGAAAACAAATTACGAACAGCACAAAAGATTATTGCCGACTTGTATGACGACTTGCTTCCCAGTGTAAACAACAACGGGAATGATGTGGATTTTATGGTTGGTGAATGGTCATGTGTTATGGATAGCGAGACATGGTCAAAGAGTGGAGTCAGCCCATCAGACGATAATGACCCTGGGCGTAAGAAGCTTGTGGCCGAGTTTGGTAGCAAGGAGTTAGAACTTATCATGAAACGAGCCAGCACCGGATCGTACTTTTGGACGTACAAATTTGAGTCGGGTAATGGAGGCGAATGGGATTTCCGCCAGCAGTTGGGCCATGGATTTAAGGCTCCCCAAGTATCGGTTCCAGACAACTCAACTTTCAAAACCACTCTCGACAGAGAATACGCTGCGCATGCAGACTACTGGGACAGCCGTCTCCCCAAAGAGACAAATGACCACGAAAGGTACAAGGAGGGGTTCATTGCAGCGTGGAAAGACGGTGTCACATATGCGAAGGTCGGTGCTTTGGTGGGAAGAAAGCAAGCTGTAAAGTCTGTCAGATTGCAAGAACATTTGCAGAGCAAAGGAGACCTGAAGTACTTATGGGAGTGGAAGCAGGGTTACGACAAGGGCTTGGAAGAGTTCAATAAAAATGCTCTTCAAGCAGCCGAAGGGACAGAGGCTTGAAATTGAGACGATCTGGTTTCGCCAGGAAGAGATTATATGTTATAAGAAAATGTTTTTCCATGTATTGTAATGAGTGCACAAAAATGGCTGCTTTGAAGGGTATTATAGCAGGCTGAATGGCTGATTAATGATTTCAATTGGTGGAATCATGAGACGATTGATCTTGAGAGCAGAGCCTCTATATGGGACGCACAAATACCAAGCCAAAGCCTGTAACAATGTCTCGATCTGTTTCCGAATATCCTTAGCGGCTTTGATAATATCACGCAATTTGCTTAGGTTTGTATTTGGGCTTTATCTCAGCTATCTTGATATTCTCTTTTCTTTAGTGCTGAATATTGCATTGTTAAACCCACGCTGTGTCGCTCTTCGGGCACACAAGCATTTTGCAGCCAGTTCTCTTTACCATTCGACAGTGGTTTTCTTCATACTATGATATATACTTTCAAGCTGCATTATAAAAGTGATGGGAATGGACCCTTTTCAGCGAACTGTGTCGTATGTGCTAATTTGTGAAGGCCTTATAATGGGCAGTGAATCTCACACTGCATATTACACGAATCCTCCAGAGGGAGTCTGTTTGCCCTCAGAGACGGCAAGAGAAAGGCAGATCAGAAATAAAAAGCATGATGATGTGGCAGCCCTACTTTTGGAATTTTTGAAGGCAGTTTATCAAAATGAAATACCAAAAGCCATCCATAAATCTGGCAAGCAGGTTCCGTTGGTGCGAGTGGTCCGTTGCCGCAAGCCAGATTGCATATTTGGTTGAAACAATAGCTATCCGGCTTAGAGTGGATGGGGGCTTGCTATTGAGCCACCGGTGTCTGAATATTCGTGCCAATGATGCCTCTGGCTCTTTTCTTTTTTCTGATTAGCCTCGCGCATTACTGTTTTTAGTTTCTTAATCTCCTGATTGTTGCTTTGATTGTAGCTCCAAACAGAGATTTCGGAAATCCAATACACAATCAAGAGAGAATAACGAGCTGGGTATCGAACGAGGAAGTTGAGAAAATATAACTGTTTTATAAAGTCCTTGCATATTTCCCAGTGAATCGTCTGACTGAAATTCAAGGGTCAATATCATGGAACAACATGAGATACACCATGGAAGAGAAACCATGTGAGGAGAAATACCGTTGAGAGCTGAGGGCAGAGAGAGCATGGGAAAAGAATTCAACATCGATCCTCGCATGAATGTATGTCACACGTGAACCAAAACATATTAACAATCCAATCACAATCCTGACTATACAAAAAATACATAATTTACACGATGTAGGCTATCAAGGCATTCTCCCCTTCTCCCTGTCCTAGAATTGCGCAGGCTTGCCAGGGCCTTATATGCCGCACCAGTCTCGCAGCAAGCAGCAAGCGAGACTTCACTTGGGCTGCCAGGCCCCAATCACCTCCCGCGTCCTATATATATATATATATATA